CTGGGCACAAATGGGCTGCAGCTCTGGGCACCTGGGCACACGTGGACTGAAGCTCTGGGCACCTGGGCATGGGGACAGACTGCAGCCCTGGGCACACACGGACTGCAGCCCCGGGCACCTGGGCACACATGGGCTGCAGCCCTGGGCACAGATTTCAGCTCTGGGCACAGATTGCAGCTCTGGGCACAGATTGCAGCTCTGGGCACAGGCACTGCCTGCAGCCCTGGGCACAGATTTCAGCTCTGGGCACAGATTTCAGCTCTGGGCACAGCCTGACTGCAGCTCTGGGCACAGGTTTCAGCTGTGGGCACAGGTTTCAGCTCTGGGCACAGGTTTCAGCTCTGGGCACAGGTTTCAGCTGTGGGCACAGCCCTGGTGCAGTTTGTCCCCCAGCTGGTCCATCACTGTGCGCTCCCATTGCTTCTCCAGCCCATCCCTCCTTCCTGGGAGGGCTGAGGGGCCTGAGCTGATGTTGGTCCCACACTCAGTGGCTTCTCCAGGCTGTTGTATCCCAGCATGTTGGTGTTCAGCCTCTGGGTGATTTTTCTTCTTTTTTTTCCCATTCTGCAGCTTATTCCTATCCCATTGCAACCTTGTCCAGAACCATGAATCCCTACACAAATAACATTCTGGAATATGTATCCTTTACATGAAAACATGGGGGGATGTTGGTGGGGGCTCCCAAAATCAATTGGGGCTTATCCAAGCAAAGTTAGGGTGGGACAGGAGTTACCTGGTGCAGCTCCACTGCCCCCATCAGGTGCTGGATTCTGCTTTCCCCAAGGTTCCTCTTGGCTCCAGTGGGAGCTGCCTGGATTTGGCATTTCCCAGGATTTTGGCTGCTGGGAGGCCGAGCCAGACCTGGGCACTGCTGTCCTGCTGCTGCTCCCATCAAATCCTTTGGATATCAGCACCTTGGTGGGACTGGGGACAGACAGAGCATTGTTTTGGGGGATTTTAGGCTGATCATTCCCAGGCTGTTGATTCTGAGGGGCTGTTGCCATTCCCAGTCTTCCAGCAATGCTGGATCCAGTGGGAATTAAGCTGTGTCTGGCCAACCTCAGCCTCTGAGAATTCCTCATTCCTGCTTGCAATCCAAGTATGGGGTCTTTCCCTCCCCAATCCCATTTGTCTCTGTTGCTTCCTAAAATGTTTCAACATCCCAGAAGTTCAACAGGGCCTCCTTAACAATGGCCACGGCAGAAAAACGCCCATGGCAAAATCATCATCGTGTACGACAACGACGAGCGCTTGGCCAGCCAGGCAGCCACCACCATGTGTGAGAGGGGCTTTGAGAACCTCTTCATGTTGTCTGGGGGTAGGTGGGGCTGGGGGAGCTCCCCCACCCCTCCTGGGGGAGCTGGAGATGGGAAAGGTCTGGGTTGTGGAGTCATGGGATGGTTTGGGTTGGGTGGAAGCTGAAGGATCAGCCAGTCCTGTCCCTGTGGGCAAGGACACCTTCCCTGTCCCTGTGTGTTCCAGCCCGGCCTTGGGCACTGCAGGGATCAGGGACAGCCCCAGGTGCTCTGGGAATCCCTTCCCAAAATCCCAGCCCAGGCTCCCTCTCCAGGGAATTCCCTCCATTCCCAGCTCTCCCAGCCTGGCATTGGATCCATCCCCACCCCGACTCCTCTCCAGGAAGGGATTTTGGGCTCTGGGGGCTTCACTGGCAATCTCAGCACTCCAGGAAGGGTCTCCCTTCCCTTTGCCATCCCCAAC